CCAGGTATGGACATGCATGGCTGTAATCTAGTTACTGGGGAGTCTGAGGCGGGAGGATGGCTTGAGCCCAGGAGTTCAAGGCTGCAGTGAACTATGATTGTGCCATTGCATTCCAGCCTGGGCAACAAAGTGAGATCTTGTCTCAAAAAAAATTAAAATAAAATAAACATGAGCCACAGAGAGGTTTAATGGCCTCCCAAGGTCATACAGCTTGTTAGAGTTCAGAGTTGAGACTAACATTCAGGGAGTTTGGCTTCTGTACCAACGCTCCGTACATTGCATGCTGCCCCTAATTAACCTGGCCAAACTTGGTCTCCAATTGCCAGTGAAGTTGACCAATAAGAAAGAAAATCTGATGAGCACTGAAAGCAAGTATGATCTAAATTTGATTGGTCAGGACTTCCTATGACCTTGTGAAGAAAACCTATGGCACTGTGGTTTTCTGTGTACACGGAGGTGTGACTGGTTTCATAATCTCATCTCATCTTAACCCTTTGGGTTGAAAATTCAGGCACAGACCACTGAAATAATATCTGGCAATTCTCTGGTTTTTACCACTTCTCCATTAGCTGGAAAACTAACACAAGATGTAATACTCTGGATGTTTTAGGTGTTATGTAATTTGCTTGTGTATTCCATAGTCCCTCTCATCCTTTAAAATATAAAATAAATTATTGCTAATGTAGTTTTTGACTTTGTTTCCATGTTCTTTAATTTGATTTTAAGTTTTCTGGGCATGAGGCCATCTTTTTATGGAGTACAGTGTTATCATATTTTGCCTTATCTTATTTTGATATTTTCCAAATATTTAAATGTAACCCAGATGTCAGCTCAAACCACACATTACACAGCCTTGCCAGAATTTCTGCACATTCCTGATGAGATTTCATTCTGTCTAGTTCCAGCTCCCACAGGACCCTTGATCTCACTTAAGGTTTGTCTTCCTTGTACAGACCTGCCCCTAACATTTGTGGGGCAAAGGTCAGGGCAGGAATATAGAGGCTCACATATCCATTGTCTAAACAGATAATAAACTATTAAATAAAATATGTACTGTTCTTCTGCATTGCAAAATTTGCCTTCATAATAACCTAGAAGGCCAAGTTGAAATTTAGAATTTTGAGACTTCTAGTTTTCCTCCAGAATTTGGCAGTATGGGGAGAGCTGAACTCCCACCTCCAGCCTCTACCCATAGTCCACCCCTTATTTTTTTCCATGCCCCCTCCTCCGTTGTTTCACAACATGAAGGGCGTCACATGCGTTAGTGGACATTGGGCATGTCTAAGTTTTACCCATTTGCTTTCAAGCAGCCATCCCTTAGGCAAACCTTAGTCCTAGTGATATGCCTACTGGCACTGTAGGCTGCAATTAGGAGGATGGACCCAGGGACAAAGCTGGTGTAGCCCTGCACAAGTGCCATTCCTCAAGTCCTAGGGCCCTTAAGAATGATGCTAAATCTACTCAGCCTGTGCTCTATAAATGGAACAGTCAAGCCTGCATGACAGCACATCTGTTTACAGCATGATTTACTGAATATTTTAGGCCCACCGTTAAGACCTACTGCTCAGAAAAAAGTATTTCTTTTTCAATATACCTAGTCACCCAAGAGCTCTGATGGAGATCCACAAAGATATTGATGTTGTCTTTATGCCTGTTAACACATCTCTTCTGCAGCCCATGGATGAAGAAGTAAATTCAAATTTCAAGTCTTATTATTTAAGAAATACATTTTGTAAGCCTACAATTGCCATAGATAGTGATTCCTCTGCTGAATCTGGGCACAGTAAAATCAGAAACCTTCTGGAAATAATTCACAATTTTAGATGCTGTTAAGAACATTCATGATAGCCTGGGCACAGTGGCTCACAACTGTAATTCCAGCACTTTAGGAGGCAAGGTGGGTGGATCACCTAAGGTCAGGAGTTTGAGACCACCCTGGCCAACACAGTGGAACCCCATCTCTACTAAAAACACAAAAATTAGTCGGGTGTGGTGGTGCACACCTGTAGTCCCAGCTACTAGGGAGGCTGAGGCAGGAGGATTGCATGAACCTGGGAGGTGGAGGTTGCAGTGAGCTGAGATCATGCTACTGAACTCCAGCCAGGGTGTCAGAGAGAGATCCTATCTCAAAAAAAAAAAAAAAAAAAAAAAAGAACATTCATGATTCATGGGAGGTGGTCAAAATATCAACATCAGCCAGGGATGGTAGTTCTAGCTACCTGGGAGGCCGAAGCAGGAGGGTCTAAGCCACTGTGCCCGGCCCATAGTCTTTATTTTTTAAACTTTATTTATTTGTTTATTTTTGAAACAGAGTCTTGCTCTGTTGCCTAGGCTGGAGTGCAATAGTGTGGTCTCAGCCCACCGCAACCTCTGCCTTCAAGTGATTCTCATGCCTCAGCCTCCCAAGTAGCCTGGGATTACAGACATGTGCCACCACGCCGGGCTTATTTTTGTATTTTTAGTAGAGACAGGATTTCACCATGTTGGCCAGGCTGGTCTCGAACTCCTGGCCTCAGGTGATCTGCCCATCTTGGCCTCCCAAAGTGTTGGTATTACAGGCATGAGCCACCACACCTGGCCTTTATTTTTAATTGCATTTCTAAATACGCTATTTTAAATTGCCATTGGTATAAATGACTTCTTTGCACACATCAGAACCACTTGATTCTCTACCTTCAATATGTGTTTGAAAGACACAGAAAGAACTTATAAAAAAGCACTGATACCTGTTTTCTTATGGAATGAATGTCATTGGCCAATATTGTTTCTTGGCCCTATGGGAGAGACTTCTAAAGACAAAACTTTCGGGGCGTGCTTTATTCTTTATACAATTTTTCCTTGCTATCCAAATGAATTCAGTTCTTGTGTATGGATAGAGTTTGGAGAATGAGTTTAGGTAACCAGGGAATTTGTGTTGTTATAGTTCTAAAGTCAAAAGCTCTATGATAGAAAACTATGACTTTAAGAGTTAAAATCTATACCATTCCTAATCTATTTGGCAGTTCAAAGTCAAGCTGATTTAACTCCTGGAATCAAAGCTCCCTAATTAAGTATCTTTATAATTTTCAATATTTAAGTTGGGCAATCAGGAAAGGCACAAAGTAACTAGAGCTGAAGAATTGTAAAATGTTCTAGGAGAAAGCTATTTTATTTTAAACAAGTCTTCAAGAAGGACAGAGATTAAATAGTAATTGAGTAATGATCATTTTATTAAAAGTGTTAAAAGCTTATATTGGAAATAGCCATGCTCTGTACAGGACTCCATTTATTTGTAGAAAATTACTCCCTTCCTGTGACTTAAAATGATTAATAATCATAATAATGAGGGAGACCAGGCATGGTGGCTCATGCCTGTAATCCCAGCAGTTTGGGAGGCCAAGGCAGGCGGATCACCTGAGGTCAGGTGTTCAAGACCAACCTGGCCAACATGGCAAAATCCCATCTCTATTAAAAATACAAAAAATTAGCTGGGTGTGGTGGTACCTGTAATCCCAGTCATTCAGGAGGCTGAGGTGGGAGAATTGCTTGAACCCAGGAGGCAGAGGTTGCAGTGAGCCCAGATCCTACCACTGCACTTCAGTCTGGATGACAGGGCAAGACTCAGTCTCAAAAATAAATAAGTAAGTAAGTAAATAAATAATGAGGGTTTTTTTAAAGAAGTGCTTTGAAGTTTATAAAATATGTTAATAAATATTATATAATCTCAGTTGAGATCTTGATCATTGGTATCCAACAGAACTTTCTGCAATGATGGGAATGTTCTAATATGCTATCCAATACAGTATCTGCTAGCCACATGGGCTGCATAAAGGAGGGGTGGATACTCAAATAAACATTAGGGTATTTCTACCTGTAGGTAAAAAGGATACTTGGGCAAAAATACCAAAGTCTAGTGTGACAGACAAGATACTCTAATACACAATAATAGCTACTTTTGGTCACTGCCCATTGATTTATAAAATTTAATAATTACATGAGAATGAAGCCAACAAGACTTAATGAAGTTATAATTTTATAATTTTTTGTTTTTGAGAGAGTCTCACTCTGTTGCCCAGGCTGGAGTACAGTGGCACGACCATGGCTCACTGCAGCCTCAATCTCCTGGGCTCCAGTGATCCTCCTGCCTTAGCTTCCTGAGGAGCTAAGACTAAAGGCAGGAGCCACTACACCTACCTGACTTTTTATTTTTTTGTTTTTTGGTAGAGACGGGGGTCTCCCTATATTGCCTAGGTTGGTCTCAAACTCCTGGGCTCAAGTGATTCTCCTGCCTTGGCCTTCCAGAATGTTGGGATTACAGGCATGAACCTCTGTGCCCAATCTTTTTAGTCATTTTTTAAAACATTGCTTTCAATTGTCTTTGTGAATTTTTGTGACTGCTGAGACTTCGTATATTGAGCAATCATGTTATCTAATTTTTAGTGCAATGGTTAACCCGGGCAATAGCTTGAATTCAGCTCCCCTTACGACTTTATGCCATGTGATTGTCTAGCACTTTTCTTTTCCATAAGTGCTAGATAGCTGGTGAACTGGTATCTAGGTGCAATGTACAAAGAAACCTAATAGGTATTAGGTACAAATGTGAGAGCATTCCTGTCATTTTGACATAAGGATGTGCCGACCTAATAGCAATCAAACATGTTTGTCAGCACATTAAAAATGAAACACTGTTACCACTAGTATAAATAAACATGAGTAAAAAGCCCACACTGAAACTTGGTTGCATTACTTGGCTATTCAAAATAAGCTTCCATTAATTTTTAAGTATTATCTTTAAAATAAAAATATAAAACATATAAGTTCTTGAAGAGAATGTTCAGGCTTCTAAGAACAGAACTTTTTAAAAACACTAACTGCTTTTTGTTACTGAATTTCAGAAACCTTTCACAAGACAGTAAAAAACAAACAAACAAAAAACTTTACAACCACAGCTAATGTCATTTTTTCCATTGTTCCTACTCAGCTCCAAACTCATTGTGTGCAAAACCTATTTGTTTCCATACATCTAAATGATAGATACAGGCTATGAGATTCTTTCTTCTATTTGTAGCAGCTTATTCAGGTGCAGCCAAACACAAAGCTTCAGGATAAATTGTACAAACTTTACAACATGGGATTTGAATTTAAAATACGAGACATAAAATCTGCACAAAACTGATAAAAATCAAGCACAGATACCAGGATCGAAACTTATAATCTACATGTGAAAAGGAGTCTTATTTCCTTTCAAGTGCTTTATTCTGCTATGGAACAGTTGAAACGAAGATGTGAAGCTTTGTGGTTAGTTTCAATTATACATGCTGTAGATACTATAGTTACGCAGAGACCAATGGATGTCCATCAGTTCATCTGGATTGATGGGACACACCAGTGGGATCACTGAGAACAAATCACGCAAGTATGGAAGCAAAGTCCTCCTGTGCAATTCATTTGCAGTGTTTGCGGATGGGCAGGCACACCCCTCCGGGAACTGCTTTCTTCATCAGTGCTATGATTTAGAAAGAGCAACGAGTGCTGCTTTCTTCATCAGAGCTATGATTTAGGCTTCACGCCTCTGACCAACTCCTTAGCCTCAAGTGTTACCATATTCCTGAAGCTCTACTGCCACTGTTTCTCCAATTATGTTAGAAACTTCTGATCTAGATGGCAGTGGACCTTCTAGTTGGGAACGTTTGTCTGGGTTGATCCAGTTGTTTTCAAGACATTTCACATCAAACTTTATGTAAAGATCACCTTTTTCAAAGGGATAAGAATACTGCGGCATTTTTTTCACCTCAAATCCCCAGGATTGTTTGGGAAACACTGAAACAACAAAAAGGGCAGAGCTTTGCCCACACTTATTTGCTAAATGCTCTCTCTTTTTACTGTGGGGCCTTATGCAAAATGACCTAACCTCTTCGAGGCAATTTCATAATTTTGAAAGTTAGAGTAACATTCATTTTCTGGGGTTGCTGTGAGAATCAAACACAATATTGGATATGCCATTTCTGACACAACTGAAAGAGTAACCATGCCTGGGTAATAGAAAGCACGTAACATTTATAATTAGGAGAATATCTGTCAGATCGGGCTTTGCATTTCTGGTCACATGACCTTCAGCAAGTGACAAACGTGAACTTCAGTTTCCTCATCCATGACATAGGACTGATATCAACATCTTCTCCACTGGATTGAGAGAAAACGTGAAAGTAACTTCCTTTTCCTTTCTCTCCCATCTCCTCACTTCTCTCTGCCTCCACCTTCCTATTTCCCCACTTCTCTTTTCCTTCACCCCCATCTCCTTACTTCTCTCTCCCTCCACCCTCCCATCTCTCCATTTCTTTCTCCCTTCACCCTTTCATCTCTCCACTTCTGTCTCCCTCCACCCTCCCATCTCCACTTCTTTCTCCCTCCACCCTTTCATCTCTCCACTTCTCTCTCCCTCCACCCTTTCATCTCTCCACTTCTCTCTCCCTCTACCCTCCCAGCTTTCCACTTCTCTCTCCTTCCACCCTCCCATCTAGTTACTTCTCTCTCCCTCCACTCTTCCATCTCTCCACTTCTCTCTCCCTCCACCCCTTCCATCTCTCCACTTCTGTCTCCCTGCACCCTTTCATCTCTCCATTTCTCTCTCCCTCCACCCTCTCATCTCTCCACTTCTCTCTCCCTCCACCCCTCCCATCTCTCCACTTCTCTCTCCCTCCATCCTCCCATCTTTCCACTTCTCTTTCCCTCCAACCCTCCCATCTCTCTACTTCTCCCCCTTCACCCTTCCTCTCACCCCAAACACACTTTCGTGGTGTTGCCTAAATTCCTTATGAGCATTCAGTGTTTTCTATTGATAATGTTTTCCTTGGGTCTTCTTTTTTTTAAAAAAGGAATCCTTTTGAGACAACTAGAATATTGACTACTTGACGATTTTCTCATGAATTCAACTGCTCTAACTGGTACATTGACTAAAGGGCATTGAGTTCATTGGATCTCTGAAGGGAGAAGAAGGAAAAAAACAGGGAAGTTCAGCCTGTCTTCCTACTCCTAAATATATTTCACAATGTTGTCTTAGCCTAGCACATTTAAAAAAATCTCTAGTACAAAAGTTCTTTTAGTAATCTGATAAGTCAATTTAAAGGAATATTTCATGCATATGAAAGGTAAAATTTGATGAGGCTTTCTTGACATATATAAAAGAATAGAGATTAAAGCCATTATTTAATATTTGCCCTTTAAGTCTGTCCATCAAATATAATTTTATGTTAAATACTTTCCATGACTTCAGCTTTCTGTTGGACTTTGGTTTTAGAAATAGAGAAAGTTTCATGAAAAACAAATTTATGTCACCACTGTGTTTTAGTAGTTGGTAAATATACTAAACAACATATTGCTTTTTGCCAGAGTCAATAATCATTGACTCCTGCATGTGTCAGCAGACATTTACCAGTGTGAGGACTCTACATGGGAAATTAGGCTTTTTTTGGGAGTGGGTAGAAAGGAGGGTAGAGTATCAACAAATAGGGAAGGTCTGGGAGTCAGTAGACCTGGGTTCTAGTCCTCTCTTTTAATTAGTTTTGAACGCTATATACACAGATATAATCTTTTCAGAGTTATTTTTAAATTGATAAATGAAGGGGATTGGGCAGTTCCTTCCAGCTCAGTCAATTGGGAATAGTTGATTGATTCTTGATATGGTGATATTTCTAACAGGAGAGCAACTAGATCACAAGATCCATAGCACAGGGATCATGACTGTCTTATTAACTGTTGAGCCTCTGCAGTTTGCCTGTGTAGATACCCAACAGAAACCTGTTGAATGTAGAACAACTGAGGGTTGGCTAGCCAGCAGAATTTCATTATTTTCAATTCAGAGCTAGATCCTCCTATAGTTCCTAAGCTACGTATTTAAAAGTTAATAATCAGTGTACATTTGGGAAAACCACACAGGGAATGAAATTCTGCCATGACATTCCACTGATGGTAGGAATGAGGATCCTGATACTCCAGCCTACTCTCTGAAGGTCAGGTCCTTTTACAACACGCCCAAAGAGCATGACTTATGCTGACAGCTCCATCAGTTCAACAGAGGTCTTTTTTCTCAATGGAACAAATGTCTATTGTGTTGATGTTGCCTGACCTAACAATAACTGACTTCTCCAGTGGATCTTGATACTTTTTCTTCCCACTTACCCTTGGAATTTATCACCATCAACTCCCCCATGTGCCAGTGGTAGTTTTCTGTGGATCCTGAAAGAAGATCAAGGCCCTGGAAAAATTAAGGAAAATCAGGGATTGTGTTGATGCATCCTGTTCTTAAGTTGAAAAAGTGCAACTGTAGCTCCACCCCCCAGCAATCCAGCTTAACTGGATATTCCAGAACAAGGCTGCCCACTGGGCTGAACACATCCCAAGAAGGGTGGGGAGAGTTACAAAAACCAGGTCCGCCCTTAGCCCAATCCAGCCAGCAAACAGCAGAGGGGCTTGTTTTTCCTAAATTCAGTTCTTAAAATAGATGAACTTCTCTCAGCATTTAATAAAATTTTTTTGTCCAAAATTACTTTTCTTGTTTAGAGCTCAACACGTTTGTTTCAAGTATCTTTATGATTGGACACATATTTGCAACTCTTTACATTCCTAGCTAATGGGAAGTTGGGAGTCATCACTATAATTTTCCCAGGATGCTTTAAGATGCTCCATCATAAACACATCCTGTGTTTGAATGACGTTTGGCAATGTTGAGATTGAGAGCTTCAATATGCACATTAACTTCTCAATAACACAAGTCATAGTTAGATACATTATAATATTTTCCTCCTTTATTTTTCTGATAGCTGCCTTCAGAAGTGAAGTTCAACAGTAGGGGAGCACTTGCCTTCCATTAATATTTAGATGGACCATACGGATATCTCATGAACTAACTTACAAAGTGTCACATGTTATTTGTGACAGCATGGATGAACCTGGAGGACATTATGTTAAGTGAAATAAGCCAGGCACGGATTCTCACTTATATGTAGAATCTAAAACTGTTGAACTCACAGAAGCAGCCAGTAGAATGGTGATTGTTAGGGGCTGCAGGTGAAGAGTGTTGGGGAGATATTGGTCAAAGGACACAAAATTTCAGTTCATCAGGAAGAAAAGTTCAATAAATCTATTGTACGATATGGAGACTATAGTTAATGTATTCTCGAGTATTGCTAAGAGAATAGATTTTAAGTGTTCTCACCACAAAAAAAAGGTAAGTATGTGAGGTAACACACAGGTTAATGAGTCAATTTAGCTATCCCACAATGTCCATGTATTTCAAAATCATCATTTTTACACAATAAACATATACAATTATTTGTGTCAATTTAAAAAAAAGACTCACAGAGTACAGATTAGGGTGGAGGAGGATGGAGATTAAATCTGGAGGAGCAAGCAGAAAACGTCCAGTTGTCAAGTGAAACAAGCTAAGTGATAACTGGAGACACACTGTAATTGATCCAGCTCACAGTGGAAGCTGGAAAGGATCAAAGGTCCTGGCAGGGAGCAATAGAGGAATGGAGAAAGAAGGGACTTTAATCTAAGGAGAGGCGCAGCAGTGTGTGCAGGAGATAGGGGTTCACATAAAAGCCACTGGAGAAACCTGGTCCGTTACTGGATCCCTGAAGGTTCTCTATGAGCTCTGTTTTTTTCTTTCTTACTTTCTGTTTCTTCTTTAGGGTTCTCTAACAGGTCTGCTGATTTGGCAAAAATGTCTGGTAGCCCTAGCTATCTCCTTTCACTTACATTTAAACCTGAAATAAACTTGTGAAAATGATGATATAAGCAATAGATTTCCAGATCTACCCCTAAAAATCCCTTTTCATACAAATGTGACTGGAGCCTTAACAGGATATTAACATTTCAAAGCCAGCCTCAAGCGTAAAAAGTGATGTTACCCACGAAGTCAAAGGAGAAAAGAGTGACAGCCTGTCTGGAGTTAGGCGATCCCTGGCCCCACAACACGGATGGAAATAACTGAGGAGAAGATGAAAATAATTTGCAGCTGGGCATGGTGGCGCATGCCTGCAATCCCAACACTTCGGAAGGCCAAGGTGGGGGAATCATTTGAGGCCAGGAGTTTGAGACCAGCTAGGCAACATGGCTAAACTGTGGTGTCTTTACAAAATATACAAAAATTAGCTGGGTGTTGTGACATGCACTCGGGAAGCTGAGGTGGGAGAATCACTTGAGCCTGGGAGGTCAAGTGATCCTCCCAGTGAGCTGCAGTGAACTGTGATGGTGCCACTGCACTCCAGCATGAGTGACAGAGTGAGACTCTATCTCCAAAAAACAAACAAACAAACAAGAATAAATTTGAGGGATGAAGGCTGTGCTCTACTATCGAGGTTCACAGAGTAGAAGGAAGAAAGACCCATGCTATGGTGCTCGTAAGAGAAGTTGTAGGAGCACAAACCTCTGTTGAGCTCGAGGAGGCAGAAGTTAGGAGTGGTGATTGCGGGGATTAGAGATTTCGGAGTGTTTTTATAAATGGCACTACACTCAGATGAGGGAAAAGCAGTGGCACAATACCCACCCGACTTGACAGCATCAAGGACCATTTGATAATATGAGAATAACCTGAGCCGCCTATTTTGTGATAGTCCTGCACCATCTACAGTAGCTGATACTCCAGGGGCAGAACAGAACTAGCTGCCTACAAGAATCAAATAATTTTGGGAGATGTATTCAAAGTTTCTTCTCCTGAAATCAAGTCATAGTATATTAAAAACAAACAAACAACAACAACAAAAAACACTGGGCCAAACCTTAAAAGATAAAATGGACTTGGAAAGGACAGTGTGATGGTTTAGTCTATTTACATTCGTTGTCACCCTGTCACATAACACTAATCAGTGAATCAGGTGTCCTCTGTATATGTGACAAAAGGACAAGGTTTCCACTATAGACATGCTTGTCAATGCTCCAGATGCTGAAAAGATGGATATAATGGGACACTTGGTGAGACTAATGGTTTTAGTTCTTTAGATAGTGAAATGTCACTTTAAAAATGCTACTAATACCTGTTTTTGGAAATGAATTTTTGGTTTTTTGTTTTGTTTTGTTTTGTTTTTGAGATGGAGTCTTGCTCTGTAGCCCAGGCTGGAGTGCAGTGGCACAGTCTCAGCTCACTGCAAGCTCTGCCTCCGGGTTCAAGTGATTCTCTTGCCTCAGCCTCCTGAGTAGCTGGGATTACAGGCGTGCACCACCATGCCTGGTTAATTTTTGTATTTTTAGTAGAGATGGGGTTTCACCCTGTTGGCCGTGATGGTCTCAAACTCCTGACCTCAAGTGATCCATCCGCCTCGGCCTCCCAAAGTGCTGGGATTACAGGCGTGAGCGACCACGCCTGGCCTGGAAGTGAAAATTTTAACTTACTTTGGGGCAGATGTTTTGAATAGATTCCTTTATTTACACAATGACCTGAATGGCGATACTCTGGATTAAGATATCAAATGGTATTGTGATACTGTGTTATAATAAGAAAGATGTATTTGGTCTCTGCTCTTGGTTCCTGGCACACAACTCCTAAAACCCCTGGAACATCTGTAATAACAAGAGTGTCTTTTGTATGCTAATGAGATGACTGTGGCTAGCAGTCCCTACTTAGCTTCAGGATGTGGGCTGGTCACTAGAAAGACCACGGTGTGATTAGATGATTGGGACTACCCCACCAACCTCCAGGAAGGGGACGGGGCAAGGGGCGGAAGGTTGAGTTGATTACCAATGGCCAGGGATTATAATCAATCATGCCTACATAATGAGGCTTCTGTAAAAACGCCAAAGAACTGGGTTTAGATTGTTGAATACATGGAGCGCAGCATGCCTGTTGAGGACATGGACCCTGTCTGCACCGCTTCCCATATGCCTTGCTCTGCGCACCTCTTCCATCTGGCTGTTCTCTGTATCCCTTGTAATATCCTTTATGATAATTGGTAAGTGTTAAGTGTTTCCTCGAGTTCTGTGAGTCATCCAGAAAAATAATCAAACCTGAGGAGGAGATCATGGGAACTCTGATTTACAGACAGTTGGTTAGAAGCACAGGTCACAACCTGGAGTTTGCAATTGGCATTTGAAGTGGGGTAGACTTGTGGGACTGAGCCCTTAACCTGTGGGATCTGATGCTGTCTCCAGGTAGGTAGTGTCAGAATTGACTTAAATTGTAGGACACCCAGCTGGTGTTCTTTGGAGAATTGCTTACTATATGGGGGAAACCGTCCCCATACATCTGGTGTCAGAAGTGATATGAGAATGAGAGTGAAAGTAGGAAAAACACTGGTTTTTCTTATCCCAAATAGGTATTTAGGAATATAATTTGGGTCCATCTTTAAAACCATGCCTCTGTAGACCTATTTTTTATTTCTTATTCTTGAATTTGAATATTCCATGTCTGACAATTACTTGTTCTTAGAGGATGTTAGTATCTTCATGTCTAAATTGACAGGAGATTAAAACCCAGGTTAAAATCTGAAACGAGGCCATGGAAGGAGGGACTATAGTCTGTTTGTTTCCACTTCACATGGCAGGAGAGACCATGACAAAGCTTTGGTTGTACTTTCAAGTTCAACCTGCATTGAACTAAGAATGTTCTGCATGAAGTGTTAGTTAAGACTAAACAGCTTTGGGAAACTCACTCTGGATTGTCACTCACTCTGGACTCATCATTTTCTCGTCTGAGTCATGGGTCAGATTATGCCCCTGTGGGGAGAAGGAAGTGAATTTTCCTCTTAAAGAAATGTTTTCTTTTCTCACCATTGATCATGCTGGAGTAGAAAAGGGGCGTTGGATATGGGAAGAAAGATTTTCTCCCTTTTTTGGGGAACTGGGACATGAAGGGGAAAAGAGATATTCTGCTTGTGTAGGTTGAGCAGTTTTCTTTGTCACATGAAGGAGGGACGGCAGGGCCTTCGGGCCTATTTTAGATCTGTGGCTGCAACTACTAGCGGTATTTGAAATTACTGTTGAGCCAGGGAGTTATGGTAAAAGCCAAAAGCAACTTCATTTTTGTCTCTCACTGAACTTTCTCAGGGAGGGTGATCCTTTCCCTATTCCTGGTTGAAAACTTGGGTAGTCAATGGTTACAGATAATAAAATGTTATGGGTCAATCGCTGTGGCTCATGCCTGTGATACCAGCGCTTTGGGAGACCAAGGCTGGCAGATCCCTTGAGCCCAGGAGTTCGATACCAGCCTGGGCAACATGGTGAAACCCTGTTTCTAAAAAAAAGTAATAACAATAATAATAATAAAAAGATTAGCCAGGTGTGATGGAGCATCTATAGTCCCAGCTACTCTGGAGGCTGAGGTGGGAGGATTGCTTGATCCTGGGAGATTGAGACTGCAGTGATTGCACTACTTCACTCCAGCCTGGGTGACAGAGTAATACCCTGTCTCAAACAAACAAACAAAAATGTTATGATTACTTTAAGGTGAAACTTCCATCTTAATGTGATATTTGTGTTTTTGCTCTTCTCCCAGTTAGGGTCTGGTGCAGACAAGAACATGCCATCTGGGAAGGAAAGACATCATGAGTTCCTTCTCTCTTTCTTCTGCCTTTATCCATCCATTGCTCTTGCCTTCCCATCTGTGTTAAAGCAAGAGGAGGGAGAAAGGAAATGGGGATTAGAAAATTCTTGACTAGAACTATTAAAAGATTGTTCTGGGCTCTCTGGACCTGGCAGGTATTTAAAGACAAACATTTCTCTCATGAACAATTTTACAGGCTCTTTGGGGACTCCCCCACTAATTCTGTTTGATTTTTGCTTCCTTGATGTAGCTATTCCAGATCCCTGTTTAATCCCTCGGATTCATGCACCTCTGTCCTATGGTTGGAGGTGAGTCCATTGCTTCCCAGACGTAGACTCTACACTGCTATCCCAGGCTACTTTAGCTATCTCATATGTGAGTCAGACATCTATGAACTTTAGAAATCAGACATCAAGTTCTCTGCATGGTTTCACTGACATCTCTCTCATAGGCTTTATTTGTTGTTTATGCATTCCTCTCCAAGGGCTCACTTTCTTTTCCTTGCTAAAGTATGACTTTGAGTAGTTCTTTTATCAAGCATCAGTGGAGTTTTGTAGGTTTTAAATGTCTTTATTATGTAAGTGCTCTTGAATGATTTTTAGCTGGGTATGAAAATACATTTTATTAGTAATTTCTTTTTAGCTCTTTGAAGACCTTACTTCATTGTCTTTTGGCATGTATTGCTGGGAAAGGGGAGTCTTCTATAAGTATAATTTTTACCTTCTAAGACTTTCTGTCTTTTCTTTCTGTTAGCTTTTATGATATTTTTTATCCTTTTGTTCCACAACTGTGCTACCTTTGCTTTGTCAAACTAGGTTTTATTTCATTTATCCTTACTATCATTTAATAGGCACTTAAAAAATCTGACATTTTTCTTCAATTCTTAATCCTTCACCAGTCTTTCAACATTGTTCTATTCTTTTGGAGAGCCTCATATATTATACATTTAGTAAAATCTTTAATCTAATCTCTATTTCTCTTTATTTCTCATTCGTATTTTAATGTCTTTATTGGTCTGTATT